TATTTTCATGTCCATGTTTTATTAAAATTGATGTCCCCTTTTGTCCTCTTTTGTTGTTGTGATATATTTTATGTTATTTGGCAATATATATGTGGGCAACCTTTTCCTCTGAGGAAGACCTATGGTCAAAATTCATAAATATTTTCTAGACTACCTGTTCCTTTGCTTTTCTTCTGAGACAGGAAATCTCACAGGCTCCAAAAGCAAGTCATTCTTTGTGGACATTACCTGAATACCTTGTTTTTAGGTAACTCATTGTAAGGCTATGCCCAGTCTTGTCTTTATCAATCTCCAAATATCTGGCTGTTTTTGAAATCTTCTCTTTTTCCTCTGCCCTGTGGCCCTGATGATTGTGCCCTGTCATTTTATAGAAGGCATGAAGAAGACAATACCTTTTTATTTTCTTCCTGAACTTTACAAAATCACACGTTCCTGCTGCTGATAATAGCGGGCATATTGATGAGCTGCAGAAATCCCTGGAGGCCCTAACCTGGTGAAATCAGAATTCTTATGGGACATGACACAGTGTTACATTGATCCTGAAATTTCAGCACTCATTCAGCAGGGAAGAGAATTCATAAATTTCTTAATCAAATGAAATAACAAGGGTTGATAAGTCACCTTTCTCTGATGGAATTCAGATGCACTCAAATGGACAATGTTCCTGCTTATTTTCATTTAGGAAAACAAACTGATGCAGAATATAATAAACCACCACATAATGGTGTCACATTCCATGCATGTTCCAGTGCATGTGCTGATACACCAAAGCAAGACTCCCATTGTTATATGCAAAATCCAATGATTTTGAAGAATTGCGAGTTTTTCTCTTCTCTTTCCACCTAGGGTGCTACTGGTCTAGAATCTGTGGACACGGTTGTCAGGACAAAGGCATGAATTATAATTGTTTGTATTTCTTCTAAAATAGCATTTTAATGCATTCTCCAACCCTAAAACTGTATGCATTTTTGACCTGAGAACTCCCATTGCAGAATTCAGAGACGCGCACAGTACAAAGAATATCTGTAGCCCAGTGGACTCATCCACTGGGAAACCAAATTATGCTGGTTCTCACAAAACATCTAGACCATGTGAAATTTTCAGAGCTCCCCAGGAGTAAGCAGGGAAATAATCTGTATTTCAAACATTAAGCATTACCTCGAGATCCCTTTCCTCTGTAAATCTTCTATCTGGACTACTAGCCTGTGGTAGTGCCGTTGTTCCTTAAGAGCAAAGAACCAACATGAACTGGGGAGAAAAAACTATAATTGTGCTAGAAGACTTCAGCTTATTTGCTAAAGCAAACAGGCATGGCTTATCAAGCCCTGAGGGGGCTATACTGGCTTGGGAATCACAATTTACGTGTACAGTACATTCCAGCAACCCTGATACAGATCGGTCTTTCCTCAGAGCAAGCAGTAGTATGCTCCTGGTGGTAAATAAACCTGAGCTCCCTTGGAAAAGCTGTACCTTCCCCTAAATTGAAGCTATATGGAGGTCTTGAGTCCTCAAAAATGTTTTTCATCAGGGATGGATTGTCCATCATTGAGCCTCATCTGAGCATGAAGTAAGATGATGCCAGCACATTATAATTCATTCTATCATAGAATTCACCCTCAAAGCCAAAACACTGAACTCTCAGCTTGAAACATTAAGCCTCGATTTCAGTAACTTAAAGCATTTCTGTGTGATCTGCAACAGAACTTTCAAAGCAATTTCCCTTTCAAACACATTTTCAAACCGGCTCTAAAAATAAAAAAATATGTACCACAATTTACACATTTTTTGGATAGGGAAAATACATACCAATTCACTGGCAGTCAATGGCTTCAACAACCCTGCCCCATCTGTTAAGAGATTCTTGTGCTGACTATGCAAGGGATCAAGATATTTGGGCAGATGGTGCTCTTACCAACCAGAAGGCTTGTGTGAAATGTGCAAGCCGCTGCTTTCCGACAACACCACAGTCTTGCAGCCATGGGCCAATCTCATAGAAGCTGTCAAAGCAGATTATGAAGCCTGAGCAGATCAAGTCAGGCATTGCTCTCCATATGATACATGTCGATAGACACCACACTCAGATAGAGCCACTGTTGGCCCAAAGCAGCCTTCAGATATGCTGAAGTATAATTCCCATTATAATCAGGCTGGGAAACTGGCTTAAAGGAGCAATAGACAAGATCCATACAGCTGTCTTAGTCCATTGTGGTCATATGTTGGGGTATCACGAGCACATGTAATAGCTTTCAACAAACATTAAGAAGCACTGGCTTTCTCACACTTTCCAACAGGTATAGAAAGAAAATCCAGCACACAGAAGCAGTTGCTGATGATGGGACTATGAAGGTGAGAGGACATCATATCCAGGCTTTTCAAGTGCCTTCCAGTTACCATGCAACAGATGGAGGGCATGTGAATAGGGCCTACAAAATGCATTTGACCATTTGGTGAAAAATAACATAGTAATGGATTCGGGTCAGTTTTACTGGTGCTGCCTGTAACTCCCTGAAAAGCAGTGAAACAGCAGCAACAAAATCAATATACTTTGTTGTTCGGAAACCAGGAGGGAGGGAGTAGAAGGCAAACAGTTCATCCTGTTTCCCCCTGGAATGAGCAGCTTAAGAAGTTGGTATACAATTCTCAGAAGACATCTTATGCTTGAAAGCTGTGACCAAAAAAAGTTCCCAAATCGTTTTGAGTAGCCCCTTGAGAGGAACTACAAACCAGGAAGCTTTCTGAAGCATCACACAATTGCAGCAGCACTTTGAAGTACCTAATGGACCCTTTGTATTAGTCCCTCAAGCATTAGCTTGGTGTCTGTTGTCCTTATTCATCACTAGTTTCAGGACCTACTATAGAATCACATTTTTTGTATTAAAAGATAGCACATTGGGAACAGAACTGAACATGATGCTTGACACCAGGCTGCTACTAAAAATGGCAGCCCTGTGGCAAGTTCATCCCTGATACATTTAGTCAGACTTACCTGTCTGAAAAAAAATGTCATTGTCTGTTAACAAAAGTTGATCAAGGATGGGTCTTAGCCAGGCTTTCCTTGACAAGGAGTTCAAGGACCTGGCAGCAGCCGCTGAGTGGGTCCTCTCTCACATGCCTTCCAATGGTGGTGAGATGGGAGGAAAGGTCATTCCTGAGGATCTTAAAACATAGCCAAACTTATATGGGAGAATGCAGTCTTTCAGAAAGCCTACTATGAGGTCAAGTAGGATCCTACAGGTCATAGCAGTAGTTAACAGCACTGAAAATGTACTGATAACTAGTGAAGCTGTTGTAGCAGGGATCTTACAGTCTATGTATGACTGGCCCTAGCAAATGGATGCAGCATTCTGGACCAACTGAAGCAGAAGTCTTATGTTGTCCCACTTCTGAAAATGCGAAGGACCAACCTTTGGCTTCTTTAGTGAAGCCAAAGGTTGGTCCTTGGTCCTTGCAGGTGCTAAACTTGCATATTCATATTGAACTAATACTGAATATTGAAGTTTTCAACACTTCATAGATTGTTTAAGGTGTTTCCAATATTTATGTATAAATGAAAGCAAAAGTAAGTCAGTGGTTATTGGGTACTTCCAGGTTGTAGTTTCTCACATACCAGTTCAGCCCTCCAGTATACAACCAAGTTTGTAAGAAGCATCTCTGAAGAAAACATGTCAAAAAGTGTGAAAACTGAATATGCTGAAATAGTGGCTATTTCAGTGAAAAAACAGTGAATAACAACTAAAGATTAAATGCTACAATAAAGTGAATTAAAGGATTGGAAAATAGACAAGATGATGCTTGCATAACCATTTCACACACATTTGTCTCATGTTTTATGATGTAAGGATTTATGATGTACGCATGACGTACATCATACAATTTATGATGTAAGGATTATCTTCCAAGATTATTTCGAATGAAACGTCCTGCTTAAAAAAACAGGATGTGATTTCACAGTTGCGTAAGATGCTGACTACACAGGATGCAGATATAGCTACACAAGCACTTACTAGCATATACCAGGGATGCAACTTTAATAGTATTGAATGTGGCATTTTCGAGTCACCTCCTCCTTTTGGTAATTCCTCTAGGAACAACACACATGGAAGTTATTTGTGTTAAATAAATATAATTTTAAGTATCCTGTTCATTGCTACCACGATGTCAGAGAAATACATTTAACCATAGTTTATCTGTCCTGAGGGCAGAACTAGGGATGGAGAAAATACATTCACATAGCTTTTTCTTTGCCTTCAGACCAATAAAGATGTTTACATTTCAGTTAAAGTTAAGGTACATGAGAAGCCAATTCAGAAGATATACATTATTAATTGAGCAGTTCTTCAGAGCTTTAAAGACAGGAAAGAGGTGGTGAATATTAGAGTGCTTTTTAACTTATTTACTGCTTCCATTTAAAGAAAAACTGTTATGTTTTCTGTCTTTTCACCTGCTGCTATAAGGATTAGCAGCCTCAGCAGTGTATATATCAAGTTATTTAAAATTATTTCTAGTTACATTTAAGAATGGAACCCTCCCAAAGTGGTGCCACCAGAATAGGAGCATTTCTTCATACTGTCAAATTTTCGAACTTGCCAAGTTCCCCATAAATGTGACATTTGTATTCTTGCTTAACAATTGTGGTAGGTTAGTTTGCATGTAATGGCATGCAGTGTAGATATTGTTATGTACATGTAGGAGTGGGCACACACACTGCCTGCTGTGTGCTCCACGTTGTGGCTTCAAATTAACAACTGAGGATCAGCTGGAATGCAGGTTCTTGAATGGGATGTGAGGGACTGGGACACTGGGCTGTTTATTTATTTAGGATATTTATAAGCGCAAGTGAGGAGCTTGTGGGAGGCAGCATACTCACTCATTCCTGCTGCGTAGGTACAATCCAGATCAATATTGAGAAAGGCCTTACTTTTGGAATGACTACTCCAGTATCTCAGAAACGACAGGTATGAATTGTGTATAACCTGATAAATTATTTTGCATGGAATATGTTTCTCATTCTGGATGCTTAACTTTTTTAATATATTGAAAATACATTTCTGATTCAATATTGAAAAGGTCTATTATTTCCAGTAAATAAACGTATGTATACACATCATTCGTTCTTATTTTTTTAAAAAAGGCATAAAATAGGAGAATTCATATAGCAGAACTACATGCCACTTGGGATTGCTCGTGAAATTAAATAAATATTAGAGAACTGAGGGAAGCATCATGATCTGCTTTTTATGTATGCTGCCTGCATCTCATCCAATACATTTCTGATGGATTCCACACAGACTTCTCCTCTATGATCTTTCAGGGAGGCCTGCTTCCATATTTCATCAAAGCTTTCATCCGAAAGTTGGACACCAATGTTACGCAAAATGCGTGCAATCTATGAAATAAAATACAGCATTATTAATTTCTGGTTGAAAAACGGAGTGGACAAACAGAGTGGACAACTCCCATCAGCCCTATCCAGCATAGCGAATGTGAAGGATGAGAGGGATTATAAAACAAAACATCTGGAAGGCCACAAATTGTCCACCCCTCCAATAAAAGAACAGGAAGAAAATATTCTCAATATTGTGTGTGGTGGGGGAGGGGGGTTAAATATGCGTTCCATGCTGTAAGGATCTTAACCAAAACAAATTATGTAATTTCTGAGATAAAAGTTTCAATGTTCATGAAAGCTGGTGAGACAATGATCTGTTGCTCAAATAAGCAACTGCGCCTGTGTTAGAAAACAAGACACATTAGGACAAATCAACACCTATTACCAAAGGCATCCCTGTCAGTAAAATAGTTTCTTCTTCCATAAAACATTAACCACATTTTTCATTGCATTGCAAGGTGGCATACATAATTCTCTTTCTCCTCACAAAAACAATCCTGTGCAGAAGATTAGGCTAAGAGTGAGTGACTCAACCAAAGTCACCCAGTGAATTTCAGGGCTAAGTGGAGAACAAGCCTGCGCCTGTCAGATCCTAAGTCCAGTTCTCTAATTACTGTGCCACACTGGCATTCATGCAGTGGGATACAGACTGGCTCTTCGTGTGAGAAATAAAGTACTCCAACAGATGTGGAGACCACAACGAAATAGTATGATGTATCCGCCACCCCTAACAAGAGTGCCCTTGTCCAGGGCTCTCAACAGCCTGGAACAAGCGCATCATAGCATTGCTTGGAACTTCTGTATGTCTAAGGAGGAAATTATTTTTCTTCTTTCCAAGCTTCCTGAAAGCTTCTACCAGTATTTTGTATATTCTTCACTAGTGAGACTTTCTTAAACCATATTATGTTTCTTTCTCTTATCCTAAACTCCTGTCGAGGATGCTATATTCCAGCCTTCCCCAACCTGATGCCATTCAGCAGGTTGTTGTTGCTAGTCGTGAAGTTGTGTCTGACCCATAGCGACTCCATGGACAACATTCCTCCAGGCCTTCCTGTCCTCCACCATCCCCCGGAGTCCACCTAAGCGCACGCTGACTGCGTCAGTGACTCCATCTAGCCACCTCATCCTCTGTCGTCCCCTTCTTCTTTTGCCATCTATTGTTCCCAGCATTAGGCTCTTCTCCAGGGAGTCCTTCCTTCTCATTAGGTGGCCAAAGTATTTGAGTTTCATCTTCAGTATCTGGCCTTCTAAAGAGCAGTCAGGGTTCATCTCCTCCAAGACTGACTGGTTTGATCTCCTTGCAGTCCAAGGGACTTGCAGGAGTCTTCTACCAGCACCACAATTCAAAGGCCTCAATTCTTCGGCGCTCAGCCTTCCTTATAGTCCAACTTTCACAGCCATACATTGCAACTGGGAAAATCTGCATTCAGCAGGATTGGACTACAACTCCCTTCACTCTCACAAAGCAAGACTATTGGCCACACTGCTGGGGATGAGGGGAGTCTAGTTCAGTGCCTCTGAAAGGCACCATGGTAGAGATGGGCGTTTATACAGGGCAATTCCATCCCCACCAATCCATTTTCCTTTCCTCAGTGCCCTGAGTGTTTTCTGGCTTAACCACCCATGAACACTGTTTACGTCCTGGAAGCATCAGTGCTTTTGGGGCTTTTTTGGATTTTATATACATACACACACACATATATAATTTACATTTACAAATTGACATACGTATGCACATTTACGGGGCATAAATCAATGCCTTTTGGCCCCATCTATCAACTAGCCAATGCCCAGCTGCTCCAGTGCTTAGTTTCTTTTCCTTCCCCTTTTATTTTTCTTCTTTTGAATCATGTCGGTTAGACTGTGAACCTGCAGGCAGGGATTGTCTTATCTTTTAGTATCTCCTCAACACTTTTAAAATTTTAGGTACTTTCTAAGTGTTAAATCATCATCAACATCACCACCTCTGCCTCTAAGTTTGATATTAGAGATGATAATGATATTTCTAACAGGAAGTCTCTCAACAGTTATGTTTGTACCTGACCATTCAACCTACCCTGGAATCCTTATCTATTTCACTAGAATGAAATCTCAAAAAACAAGCATTTAGATCAGTGCATCCTACCTCTTCTTTTGATCTTGTTTTGAAGATGTCTTTTTCATACACTCCTTTATTGCTGTAAATAGAGGGGTATAACAGTGCATAAGTTGTGGCTTGATCACCATAATTAGTGTTGTCACTGATGCGACGGACTCGAGGAGCAGGAATATCCGCACGAATGGTTGCAACACCACATAGTGGATAAGCTGTTGGGAAGCACATGGCAAAGTTAGAAAAGGAGGAAGACATCATGCAGCAGCTGTCCTACACACCCAAATTTTAAAAAGCTGGGTCTCCAATGTAAAATCTTCTTTCAAAATTCAGTCTAAACATGTTTTCTTAATTTTGTATGCACCTGTTGCTATTTCACACTACTATGCATAGTATAGATACAGAGCTGTAGTGAAAGGGCCACACTAGAAGCTAAATCCATCCCAAATTAAGCACTTTTTAATAGTGCAATCCTATGCATGTTTAGAAAAATGACATGACACTCATTTTCTGTGCAAATATGCTATAAAAATGGCTTACAGTGATTCCTTTGTTTTAAAATGCTCGGTTTAAAGCATTTTAAAATACAGGAAGTCTTGGAAAGGACTTTCCTTCATTAGGGGAAACTTATCTTCTCTAAATATAAGCTGCCCCTAATGAGGGGCAAACATACTGGGCATAATAAAAGCACACTGGGCATAATAAAAAAGTAGGCTTTTTCGGGCATTTGACAATGTTTTCTCTTCTGTTTTTGATACACACACAACTTTTGCTCAAAAATGCAACCATGCTAGTTCTGTACATCTTATCCCTACAGAGAATATGTAGCTTGATATGGCAATTTCTAGTTTACACAGGATTTATGGATAAGAACATGGGAATGCTTCAGAAAAAAAGATATATGTCTTTTCAGAGTACACTGCCCACACTCCCAGCTGTGTACCACTGCATTCCAACAAGCAATTGCTCTCTGGAGTATCCTTATGGATATTATAGTTGATGATTACTACGTACGCCAATGGCATCTAAAAACATTTAAAATAGCCTAGTAATGAAAAGTATGTCTGCTCATATGTACCTGATGAGGGAACGCCTCCTACAACTGCATTATATTGAGAGGAAGTTGTACGATAGTCAGAAAATACACGATCTGTTGGTCTTGAAAGTGTTCTGGGTGTCCTTTCTAAACTTCCAGGTTCTTTTAACACAATGTCTTCCTGCTTTAACACAGCATCTTCATCTAGTTGGACTTCTGCATTGTCTAGTGGAATGAGATCAAAGGGACCTGGCCTTTTGCCTGCAAAAATGAAATGATTCCAGAAGGACAAACACTGATTGCTTTCATCAGGAATGACAACAGCTTAAGACAGGGTCCCCAACCTGGCACCTTCCAAGGTTGTTGGACAACAATTCCTAACATCCTTCAGCCATCATGCACTGGCTAAGAGACACCAGGAACTATTATCTACCACCCTGTACCCGGTTGAGGAAAACTTAATATAATCAAAGGAAAAGGGGCCACAACAACACCAGATTCATCTCCATGCAGCACAAAAATAGCTCCTATGACATCAATGGGAGCTGCCATACCAGATACTGACATCTACTGTCACTTTTTTAAAGGCCCCTACAAAACATTATCATCCATCATGGTCTCCTTGTTTTTCCCATGCTTCTTGTTCTTTTGGGAAGTTTATTTAATCTCAATTTTGAGGGAACAACTAAATAGTGATGCAGTCTCTGTAGCATAGACAGCCTCAGTGCTTCTCTACAGTCCTTTTGAATAAGCATCAACACACACAGGCTGTGGCATTTGGGGAAGCTGTGCTCTTTAGTCACATCACTCTGGTCTATCACTCATCTGTATAACTTGGCCTTTTAAACTGAATTTGACTTGGCCTGCTAAATTGCTTTGAGTGTTGAGGTTTTTAATTTTTTCTTATTGTAGTTTTTAATATTTATTTATATTGTATGTTTTCATGTTTTGTTTCTGTTGTTTTTGATCTGTTGTGCAGTCCTTTGAAGATATTTGGAGAAACAGTGTATGATATTAAAAATCAGTTTAAGCAAAACCTGGGCCCATGTTCACTATTACCTTTCCAGCTTGCACCAGCGTAGTAATGCTGCCTACACTGTGGCATTACTTTTTCCAATTCACACTAAGATACTTTTTCAGTTTACATTTAAAGCTCAGTTAAATGGTCCTTGTAAGTTCCCCCTCAAGATCACAGAAGCAGCAATGAACACAGGGAGGTGAGGGGCAAAAATTGAGCCAGAATTTACCACCCCTCCCAGTGACTGCAGAAAGTTCTGCAGAAGCTCCTTTCCCAAGGTGCAACCTTGCAAGAAGGGATGGGAGGGAGGAAATAGTGGGTGAAGAGCAGCCACAGTCCTTGTCTGAGACGTGGCTGAGAGGGAACTGAAATGGCAAGCCTCCTGCTTTTCTCACTCAGATCACGATTCTTTAGGGAGTCCATCCAAAGCAGTATCATGTAATAGAAGGGAAGACACATCTGATAAAGCAGAGTCAAGTCTGGCTGTATAGAATAACAAGACGAGCCAAAATTAGATATGATCTGTCAAGGCACTGGACAGAACTACTCTGGCTGGTCTCACTCTGGGACAACTGTTGTTTCAGAAACATGCAGAGGTTATCTAAGGTTTGATTGGGTCTGTCTCACCAGAGCTTGCTGTTAACAATATCCCAAGAAGCTATCTAAGTCAAACAGCAATTGCTCATTTCTGCAGGTGCACAGGAATGGGAAGCACTATAATGGGAAGCAGATTCTGGAAGGTGCTCTTGTTAATGGCTTGCTAGCTTCAACGTAAGATAAGCAATGGAATGCGAGGATGAGGCAGTGGCGGTTCAGAGAAAATGCTATCACTTCATCTTACTTATGGATTAAAGCTAATGAAAATCTTTACTACATACCTTTTGTAATTATTTTTTCTTCATACTCATTAAGAGATGTTTTGTCTTTCCAGTTAAGGAAATTCACAAACTCCAGATAGTTTATAAAACCATCTTTATCTAAATCACAGTAGTTGAATAAAGCATCCAAGAGCTCTTCATCCAGGTTCAGGTTAAGTTGAAAACAGGCCTTTTTCAGGTCTTCCCTGTTTATTTTCCGATCACCATCCTAAATAAACAACACATGTACAACAGAAATGCACCTAGATGCTCCCCAATTATGCCAAGTAAATTGATAAACAGTTACATTATCCAGCAAATGAAGAGATGGCTGATTTGGGCTATCTCTTTTGCTGTAGAGTGCAGGGAGAAGTGGTTGAGGCACCACCAGGATATTACACATGCTAGCAGAGAGTATCCCCCTTCCTACCCTCTGGAATGCTCACAGGACTCCATATTCAAGGTCAGTCTTGCAACTTTGGAGCCCATCTGGCACAGTTCTTTCCATGGCAGCAGTGAGGATAAAAGGAGGGCACTCCAGATTTAGAGTCCCAGCTCTAATCTCAGAGTGTGTTTCTAGAGTTGGAACTAAGACTCCAATTTCCCCTTTGGCCATCTAAGACTATATATCACCCATACAATAACACCTAAAACACACCTAATAAAATAAATAAGAATCAAATAGCACCCACCAGTTAAAACCTAGTTCAGCAAACAAAACAGCTTGGCAGTCAAAAGCCTGTCTGAATAAAAATGATTTGCCTGCTAGTGAAAGTGCAACAAAGATGGAACAGTAAAGATGTAGCCATTTGTTCCATCTGCTTGTTACAAATGCTCCTGTTTTTCAATATGAGCTATTGAAACTGTTTTCATGTTCACAAAGGCCTGCGAATTCTATACCCTGTTTCACATTAGAGAACAGTGTACCATCTGAATCTGTGTCACTGCATCGCCTTACTCTGGCATGACAATCTACACCTCTACAACTCTCTCAAACAGCTATTAACATTCTTGTACCACTTTCTCAAAGATTTCTCTGCATGGTGAAAAGAGGCTTAGTGGGCTGGTAGCAAAACCTGCGGTCTGATAAAGTTTGTATGGAGAAACAGGAAAGATTTGATTAAGCCAAACCCATTATAGTAGGAGAGAAAGAGAAGGAAGTTCATTACCATTCCTCCAAGCAACAGTCTGGAAGACTTGGAAAATGATATCTGAAGGCAGCCAGTGAGTTGATGGGTATAATCCTATTCATGGCTGTCTGAGAAACAGAAATGTTCCAACATTTTCCTGTCTAAACACTTCCCCTTAAATTTGTTTAAAGGCAAATGGAGCTAAGCACTATGGATGTGACCCCTTTGCCAACACCGAAAGCAGCAGCATGCAAAGGTCTTCTTGCATGTGTCAACATTTGCTCTGCAGTCTTTAATTCACTGATGCACACAACTTCAATAGGTATTCATCCTCTTTTGTAGGAGGCTGCAAGATAGCCTCTATACAGTCACAGAGGCCACAGTGCAAGGTCAGTGCCTGAAATGAACATAAGAGTAGCCTCACTGGAGCAAACAAAGGCCTAACTAGTCCATATATATTGATTGATCAGATTTCTCCTGGAGGTCAATAAACAGGATGTGAAGGCAATAACATTGCCCCATTATTGCTGCCTAGCAACAGGTATTTAGTGGCTAGGTTCACAGGATCACCACAGCCCTTTACAACTTCTCAAACCATGGTGGGTTGTAGCATGTGCCAGACTGGGCCAGGTGACTTTCAAATATTCAAGGCACATCCAGGCTTTGTTGTGTCATCCAGACCCAATGAGGACAGATCATTGTCAATGTTAACCACTCACTCAGAACCCATGGGCAGCTTAGGGGTTGTGCGTAGTTTGTTAAACAACCCCTGTCTAGTCTGAATGAGACAACAAACCACAGTCATGGTTTCAATATTCAGAATGGCTGCTGCACATGCCACAGTGGGTGGGCTCCTTGGCGAACTGGTCAAGCCTGCTTCCATAGGCCAGGATTTGCATTGGTAGGTGGATTTGCATGCATGCATTGTAAAGCATGGATTGACATGAGTCATCCAGTGAAATAAAGCAAAGACCCCGTTCTCCCTTCCATATGCAATTAAATATTTGTGGCTGCAATAGTTATATTATTCAACTACAACACTGGCAGCCAAGTAGAAATTTGCACGGCATCCACGTGAAATGCACAGGACAGTCTGACACAACACTAACCTTATCGTAATGCCTGAATGCTTGTAATAATGTTTCAAAATTGTGGTAATTAGCTTTCTTCAGATCCTGTCGAACTGCAGTAAAGACAGCCCGCTCTCTGTCTTTACCACGAAGGTATTCACTAGGAAGCCTATAATGAAGAAGGTCCCCAACACCTATACAAGAAATAAGTTCAATCCAAAATTTGCATGACTGCAATTTAGCTATTTTATGATACCTCCTGGTGGCCCTTCTCAATCCCATCTACACCATACAGCACTTGTCATGCCACAAAGGAAACAGCTTCACTGTTAGGAGACAGCCATACAACTGCTTGTTTATACCTAATTTTCCATCATTCAGTGCCAAGAAAATAAAACTGCACAAAAACTAACAATGAAATCATAAAAAGTGATAAAAGCAGCAACAAATCACAGAAATTAAATTACAGCAGCAACAGAAAAAGCACAACATATACAACTCAACCATGAATTGAAAAATTAAAGTTCAACAGTTCAAAGGATACAACTTTAAAGTTGTATTTTTCACCTGGTGCCCAAAAGGCATCAGAGCAGGTGCAAGGCAGGGTGACAGCCAGTGAGGCAGAGTGGCATGGGGGAGATCCATGTCACGGGCAAGTTACTACCTCTCAGACTAACCTATCTCACAGAGTTAGGTAAAGGAGGAGGATTATGTAAGCTGCCTTTGGTTCCTTGTAGGAAGAAAGGAGGGATACAAATATAATAAATAAATAAGAGTCTCTGAGGAAGATTTCACAAGTGGATCATCAGCACCCAAACGGCCTTCCCTCCTACTGCCTCCTGCTTCACCTCTGAAAGCAGAGACTCAGAGAAAGGCATGTTACTGGAAGCTAAACATGCAGGCTGATTCATGTGGAGTTAGATGAACCTTTAAATACCTAAAGGGTATAAGTGCCTCAGGGTTTTATAAGTAAGCACCATCATTTTAAATTGCGCTTGGAAACAGACCAGCAAACTGTTTTAGGATAGGTGGAATATATCTGCCGCTCCCAGTCTAAGTAATCTTATGTTTTGACTAATTAAGGGTACATTTCTATTGGGACAGAGGTGCAAAATGCCACCTGCATCCTAAGTGTAGTTCTAACTACCACTTCAAAGGTGTAAAGTCCTAGTATCCTGCAGCTTCTCAGTCAACAGTTGGGTTTGCACAATATGCTAAGCCACCTTATAACACCTTGTGACTTAGTGTGCTTTTCATACCCACCATGGCTTATTTGGAGTGGTATATGAAGTCAGCTGGGCTGATAAGCCACCCCAAGAAACCATGGCTTGTTGCAGGGTTTTTACACCATCTCTGAGCTTAAGTTATCACCTGAACTTGGACAATATGATAAACCCAGGGGTGTCCAATATCACTACAAAGTTGCTTGACAAAAATGACAAAAAATGGGTGTGTTGATCTGACCAAGTGACTCTGAGAGAGCAACACTTAGGGATGGTTGTCAGAGGTTTTCTGTGCCACCGCAGTTGCCATCCAAAACAGCTGGGGCTGAAATAGAGCAGGGTGAGCCGCGCTCTCTCAGCCTACTGTAGAGGAAGCTGGGCAGAGCATGTCTCCTTCTTTTCCACCAAGTGCTGCAACTGCTCAGCACGACACTTTAAGGATATGGGAGGCACTCTGACTGTCCTCCACTAGAGGAGACTGAGCAAAGCATGGCCTGTCTCCTCAGCCACTGCCACACAGTGGCAGGGAAGGACTGGGAAAAACAGGGAAGGAGCTGCCTCAGATTCCTACTGTGCCCGCTCAGTCACATCAGCAGCCTCAGGTTAGAAAGCTGTACAGGGTGTCTTACAAGCCAGGCAGGCTTCCTGGGTCACCCAAACCTGCATAATAACAAGTAGCTATAGGATTCCTCTCCACATTTCTGAATAGTTGTTCATGGCAGCCCCACCTATAAAGCATTTTTAGAGAGATTACAAGAGCATAGACAGCAGAGAGCAGGCAATCCTTTTTACCATTTCTGTTGCCTAGATGTATGGACCCAGTATAGGAGAACCACAGAATAACATCTAAAACAGGGTGTTGTCTGAAACATCTAAAAAAGTTATACGAGGGGGGATTGGAAAGCTCAGGAAAGCCACTTATATACTTGCCATATTCTTCAGGACGAGCTAGCACTCCAAATGTGTGGTCTGGAGGAACATTGAGGGTATCTGCTATGCTACAAATGAAAAGAATCTGTTAGATAAATGTTTGCGTTTTCACCCGTGTATAATCTTTGTTTTAGACATGAAAGATATAACTGCCTGTCAGTTCACCTCTTGTACTGTAAGTGAAGATTAAAGACAATGGATGAAGACATATGGTAGAGTTCATTTGAAATGTGTTCACTGGGACTTTTCTACATGAATCAAAGCCATTGCCACTGATAATCCTTTTCTTTTACAACCTCTTTCCTTTTAGCACGTAGTAATAACTGTCAAAAATATTTGCACAGCAGGCGATAAATGTCTTTGATCATGACACTTAAATTTCTTGAGAGAGAAAGAGGGAGAAACCCAGTATCATAAATAAACTATTTTCTTTTTTAACAAGCAGAAATGTGCATATATAGTCTTTTTCAGGTATCTGTCAAAAAAAGAGAAAGGCTTTAAAAAAATAAAGCACACTAAGCACACTTGGTACCTTGGGAGAAATGAATACATAGAAGACAAAAGTATCTTTTACTGGCTCAAGCTAGAACATTTAATAGAAAGATTTTCAGATCATGGTTTTGCACTGATTTTAGAATCATCTGAAGGAGACACTAACATCCAAGCCACACAGCAAGACATACACACTATATGTAAGATACCACAATTTTCCTGGAATTACTGACAAAGATCCTATTGTCTAACTCAGCTCTAAATTCAACTGTTAAATGGCAATCACCTTAATCACACTTGAATGATTCAATACTGTGGCTGCTCCTGCTGAATCTTAATAAAGGTGCTTCGGTATCTGCCTGCCCCCAGCCCCATCCACAAACCAATGAAATGGAGCTCAGTGGAATCAGGTCCATCATGCAACTTCTTTATTGAACCACTGCACAGGAGGCAGATGATAATAGTGATGGCAGCTCCCAGTTGGGCATCCTGGGAGTGATGGCATACTGTTTGGGTCTCTGTCTCCTTAGCTCAGCAACCCAAGTGTCAGTTAATCGACCTCTCTGAGTAACAGCCAAGGCTGAAACACTTTTTTCAATCTATAGGCCAGTCTTGTAAGTCTAAGGCTGAATTTGTAAGAAAAGGTTACAGCATTCTATGATCTTCCCATATGATGCATTTATTTTACAAAGATGAATATGAAGTCTCTCCTACACTTCTTACGTTCTACTTGTTTAGTGTGTTTTAAATTCACCCAGTAGCAAAAGTTCCCCAAACTTTCTTCCACACTCTTTTACATTGGATCAGTTGATTAGAAGACACCACAGCAAGAATGGAATACATTTTCGAAGCTGTAGCTCCCCTTACTGGGAGCTGTGGGAGGAAGGCTGACACAGGAAGGCTGACACAGAAGCTACAGTGAGAATCTATTAAGTGCTGGCATTACTTGCTCTGTGGCAACATGTCATAAGGTTTGGTCCATTACAATCACTTAAATGGTGATTTAAGTGGTTAAATGCCTAATGGAATTTCTCAAGATGGAAAGCAAGGTGAGATGAAGACACCTGGGTAACTACAGGACAACAGGTGCTTCCTGTTCAGATTCAGTATGCCACAGCCCCTGCAAAGAGAAGTCAGGGCAGGAATGACATTCCTGTCACTAACAGCCAACTCATTTATAAGGAATTTCTCATTTGATTTCTTTTGCTGGTTCCTTCATGAAAACTCCTTCTTATTGTACTTACGGATCAAGGACTTTTCCAAGCTGAGGCTGAAACTTTTCCTTGAAATCGTCACTTAGTTTAGACACTATTTTTGCTGATTTCTTCCTGCAGAATAAAAGAAGAATCTAAAAGTTTAATCAAATCAACATAACATAATCCAAGTAGATACAAGTCTTTCATAAAAAGTCTTTCATTCAGCTAAATTCTAAAATCAAAGGCAATGAGGAGCTAGTAGTGTAGTTTAGTCATCATTATGTCTTCTCTGAAAAGCCAAATCAGAGGTTTATGAAAATTATTGAAAATTACTTTGCAAGTTGGTTTCGCTATGCCAAGATATACCTGTTGCAGAAGAGATAAACTTAAATGAATGCTGTGTGGAAATTTTCTTCCACATTTTCTCACAATTCTCATTCAGTTTGATAGGAGAGTAAATAGCTTTGAAGAAAAACTCAAAGGAAAAGAATATTTTGGATAACGTCTCATGGGTTAGGTTGAGGGTTCATGCACTTACTTTCTTTCACTGTAGCATCATCCCTCCCACCACATGAAGTTCCTTGACTTTCTGCACTTCAATTAAAGCCCAAGGGAAGAAATTATGAGATAATTTCTCTCATAAGGTGTTTTTGTATCATGAAGTACAGGCACCCTGGGAGGCTGCAGAGCAATTGAAAGATGTATAATGGAAAGGAAAACATACACAGCACCCTCAGCCACCTTGGAATGCACTGTACATATCTTAGTACCAAAGGCAGAGATTAGGCAGAATGAAATGGTGGCCTCGCAAGAAGAGTCCTGCTGGGTCAGAACAAGGGTTGTTTAGTCCAGCCTTCTGTTCACACAGCAGCCAACTAGTTGTCTGCGGGAAACCCACAAGTAGGAAGTAAGAGCAATAGTACCTTCCCAGCTGACTGAAATGAGATGGTGCAGTAGCATTATCCCTGCTGGAAACTGCAACTTCAGCCACCCGACAGCTTTTGTAGGTATATAATTATTAACAATAATAATACTTCATTATTTATTATCATTCTTGTAGATGGAATAGAGGTGTTTGCAGGGTTTTCTGCTGCAAGGACCGAAATAACTTGGCCAGCCCTGGATACAAAGCACCTTGATTTTGGTAGGAGGGGTGGGGGGGGGTGGAATTTGCTTCTCTACCTGAGATTGAAAAATGTCCTCAGCTGGCCTTGGTTAATTCAACTTGGTAACATACCATTCCTACAACACACCACTCCTATTGCACATCTTGGTAACACACCACTCCCGTTGCACCTTGGAGTACTGATGCCATAAAAAATAGAGATTCAAACTATTAGGGATTTAAAACAGGTGCCACCATAAAGGAGAAATTCTTGAAAAGCAAAGTCCCATCCAAATTGGTATCACAACTTACATCTGTAGATCATGGAGCCAGCGAAACGTTCTAGCGACATTTCGTCCATCATTAAAGTGGGGTGTTTCTTTTCCATAAAGATTAAATCTGTTGAATGTAGATGGGTTGTATTTTCTATTCACTGACTCCCCTATGTGAAATTAAAAGCCTTCATTTGTTATGTGCAAAAAAGTTCTACAGTATAAATAAAATTTTCCAGCCTGCTATCCTTCATGCTAGCTGGGAATGATGGAAGCTGCAATCCAACACTTCTGTAGAGCACCAGTTTGAGAAGTCAGCTATAAATTAATAAAAATAATGTATTAATATTCTGGCCACAAGCGCAACCCCAGACCTGACTTAAGATCATCCCAAAGTGATTGGGGAAAGAGAGAGAGCTGTTGTTAGGTGCCAACCTGTGAGGTTTATCCACAGTGGTACTGGGGTAAATTTTGATTTATAAGAGCTCATCATGACAGTCCCAAAGAGAGTCCACAAATACAGGCATCCGTGTTAGTCCATTATATTTGAAACACTAAAGTGCAGCAATACCTAGCCCCATCCCCAATTTGTCAGGATCAGCTGACAGTTTTGGAATAGTGAGGTGGCACTGGGTAATGTAGTGGCTAGCAAGTTGGACTAGGGAGTGACCGGAGAGACCTGGATTTACAGCTTCAACAAGTCATACCAAACATAACTCACAGGCTTATTAAAAGGATAATGTGGGATAAGGGTAATAGGTACCCACATATGCTGCCCTGAGAAAGGGTAAAGATAACATTTAACAACATTAAAGTACCCTATCACTTGACAGGGTGGCAAAGCTTATTTTAATTGCATGTAACAGTGTGACGGGGTGGGGAACATTTGGCCCTATAATTTCCATCAGCCCTAGACAATTCAGCCAATGATAAGGAAAATGGAAACTGTACTCTAATAATATCTGGAGGGCCATACATTCCCCATCCCTGTCATGAGACATTTGTGCTGCACTGTAACACAATGAACAGCCACTTCTGTGTCTTTTAGATTAGTGCAGGATAGACACTTGCCAAGCAAATGAATGCAGTATCTTCTACATTCCAGCACCAGATGCTTGCAGCATTGATAAATGCCGCTCCTACAGATGACATCATTGGTCCTGCTGTGAAAAAAATATTGAAGCTGTGTTGCCATGGATTCCTGCTCCAGTATACCACTGTATATCAAATATACTGCACTGGTATCAGCAGAATATAATCCTTATTTTGAAAAACCAAGCACAGTTTTAAATAAGTGTTATTTTATTTATTATACTTTGTGGCTGGATGAACATGCATGTACAAAATGGAAATAATTACATATTGTCATTTTTATGTCCACATAATACTAACAATACATGTTTACTTAATACTTACTTCTGCTTCTTACTCACCAACATAATAATCATTGTGTGTTAAAACATATAATTCATGTCCTTTTTGTGCTTCACTCTGGACTTCATCAAATGTCTTTGGTGGATTTATAACCTCTCCACCAGGACCCTCTGAAAGTCAACCAATACATGTAATGAAATATCCTAAAACAAATAAAGCATAAACCTCACTATCAATACAAAATAATATGTTTAGGGACTGTTCACATACTTGATTCCAGAAGCTGCTGCTTACATTAGTTTTGGTACATCTATGTTGTAAGCCGCCCCGAGGCTTCGGCGAATGGGGCGGCATAAAAATGTTTTAATAAATAATAAAATAAATAAATAAAATACATTAGACCATATAGTTCATCAGAGTCATTCATGTAACGTGTTTATACATGCATCTTATCAAAAAAAATACTAATAGAGCTGGATGGCACTATACAAAGGATCCCTTATTAGAAACACTGTTTGAAAAACTATGAAACAGTATGGGTCACTGAGGTGTACGGAAGCTCTGTGACTGTAATGGCCCCAGATTTTGACAACTGCTGAGGCAGGAGATTAGTTTCTTAGGCCATTCTTGCTTCGTGCTCTTAGCAAAGGGAAAGACATTCTCTACCCCAGAAATATCTTGGTGTCTCATTTTAATGAGAATAATCATGAAGACTCTTACCCAGTGGGTTGCCTTTCTTGTCCTCTCTGGCATCAGCTGCTCTAGTCTGCAATTGTCTGTAGTTGAAAGGCAGACCAAAGAGCAGATAAAAGCAATAGCCATTGGAGAGAAAAGGGAACAAAAACACTGGGAGAACACCTTGTTCTTTCTAGCACAAAAATGAAGGAGCTGCTGAAATGACATGAAGGCATTTTTTGTATTCCTGTCAATGTTATTAATGCTTACTATTTGTATTGAATTAAGTTCTGGATCTTGCATACACTGATTTTGACCAGGCAACTTAATTTCATGGTGCCTAAATTAGTACAGGTTAAGATTATTGCTTTTGTATAACTAGCATTCAGAATACTTGCTCTGGTTAGAAGACATTTTGAAGAATGGCATATAGTTAACAGATCCCATCCTAATGTTTCAGTGCAATGACAATGTGGTTTATCGCTAAGTTTTTTACCTCTGAGAGTTGCTACTCCAAATCGAGTGTTAGTGACATCCAGTCCTTTAGGTAATCTTAATGACTGATCATGGGATTTCCCAAGGGGAGCCTCATGACTGCTTAAATAAATGCTTTCTTTCTTCTCTTTCAGTTTTTGTTGAAAGCACGTTTTGGGAGGTGGATTTGCCAGTGAAGCTACCTGAAGAAATTTCACACAGTATGAAATACATCAGATCTGCACTTCTGAACTATCTCATACTATATTAATTTCATTGTGATACACTAACACCTACCAATTAATTTATTAAAAAACTAAGATATGCCATATATTTAATGTTAGCTTTTTGTAACGTACACAGCATCTTGAAGCAGCTTATGTAGGTTCATCACTTAATGGCTATTTCTGAAAGTGTGTTATTCAAAACACATAACAGAGATGTCAGTACTTAAGTACAAATCTGTCACTGAAAGAGGTAATGACCAACGTTCCAAGAATACACTCTGTACAATAGTAACATTTCTAATGTATGTAATTTTTATATTAATGAGTTTTTGCTTTTGAAAAACAGATCACAAACAAAGGGAAAATTACTCTAAACTCTACCCACAGCCCATTTCAGAAAGAGGGCTGTGTATAGGTATGTGTATAGGAAAAGGCAGTTTCCAAGAGATAGGATATACAATGTACATACGTGCTTGTATGTAATGAATGCATATCCTGCTTTTCAGAAAATTATTCTTATTCAGCAACTATCTTTGGAGGCCTCCATTGCAAAAGATAGGGAACTGGTGAATTACAGTTGAGAAATACATGAGAAAGTAGATGGGAAAGAAAAAATGATTCAGCCCAGCTGTTTTCTATTCCCCCAGTATTTATTCCCTTTCCTTACTGTTTACCAGGTGCCTAAAGGGAGCAATGCTTCCTAGGCAAATACAGCAACCAAGGTCTACACAAAGCTATTTCGTCAAATAGATGCTGTGCACAGAGTTAGATCACTATATTGATATTCTAAAAGTATACATTGTAATCTTACATGGGAGAAGCATAACCCAATTTAATATCCCCCAGCTCAGAGATAATCAAGTGTTTCACATCCATAAATTCAATGGCAAACTCTTTGTTGAGAAAAAGAAAAAAATTCTTACACTCTCTGAGGTGATAGTTTTTATACCGTGTGTCAAATGTGATGCAATATCAGGATCATTTGCTCGCCCATAAAATATTCTCTCTCTACCAGTCAGAGGGTTGCTAGTATTTCGAAACTTTTTTACAACAGGTGGAGTAATTGGCTAGAAGGCAATAGGAAAACAAGTTTAGAATATACATTCCTGCAAAGTCTTCATTTAGAAATGAAGGAGAGCCATGTGTCAATCCATCAGAGGAAAAATTTCCCAAGCCACAGAATGGTAGCATCTTTACTATACAAACCAAAATCTTACAACATAATGGGCACATTTTCTGGCTCACCAGAACCCTCCAATAGCCCGGGTATTGACCAAAAAAGGGGAGACATTACCCCAAAGACTCCAGTGTATAACTATCTTCAAATACGTACAGGAGGGGAACAGGAAGAGTGTGCAGGTGTGCAGAAGGACTTATACAAACACAAGGTACCTGGCAAAATGCTCACAGAAAAACTGGGTGGCTACCTATTTTTTATAAAGCATATAAAGTAGCAGTTAATCAGTTCTCTCTAAGGCAAGGATGTGGAACCTCCAGCTTGAAAGGGATTTGCATCTGACCTGCAGAGCTTCCTGGAGTTCCTCCAAGGGACAGAGCTTGGCTTCCAAGCCCTGCATCCTGGAGAAGTATCTGCTGCTGTCTCCTGTCTGAGATCAGAAAATAACAGGGAGATTCCTATGCATCACTCCCTTTCTCAGCTGGGAGGGAGAATGATGCACAGGGGAATTCCTGATGTTATATCCAATCTGAGATCAAAAGTAAAAGAGGAGATGCAACCAGTGCAGAACTCAGGTGGAAACTGGAAGAGTTTTAGACTCCTAGGAAGCTAAGTAAGAACTCACCTTTCCCTTCACTTGAAAAATGCATTTAATTTTAAAGCTTCCATAAATAATTTGCTGCTTAAAAATAATTAAAATGTAGTGACAGCATGCTGGATAGCCTCACAAATTGAAAGAGGAGTAATATGAACACCATATGTGATACATGATTTGAATAGCTGGGATTTGCTTTGTAGCAGCTTTTGGAAACTCATAGAATAAAACTGTGCATATTTACTTGAAACTAAATCTAGCTATGTTCAATGGGCTTTAATGGTAAACATATAATGTGTGAAGGGAAAATGTGCTGTGGCCAGTTAGAACATAAAAGCATGCAGTGGTTAGTATACTTTGTAGAATAATAGGTAGACAAGTGAATAAATAGATGGATAGATAAGACAGTGCATGTACCTGGGGTAAGATTTCTGTCAGACAAGAGGCAGCTGTATCTCCAACTGGCATCAGTACTCCAGCCTACAAAAAGCATGTAAACACAAACTATAGAGGCAAGAAAGAAAGAAAAGGCTCATAACCAGAAAATAATGAATATATGTATGTTAATGTTTTCCTTTTGCATTCACAAATACTTCTATTTATTTATTTATTTAAAACGTGTATATGTTGTCATCACATGCCTCAGCATCTCATAGCACATACAATTAAAAACAATAAAACAATAACAAATTCCATAAAATTATATAAAAACAAAAACAAAAAGTGACTGTTAATGATAAAATATTAATTTTTAAAATAGCAATTAAATAAAAAGGTTTTAACCTGGCACCAAAAAGAATATAAACTTGGTGCCAGGCACACCTTTTATTTGTTATTATTCTAATAACTATTTCTTCACTGCATTTCCACAAGGATTTTTTGCATTGTGTGTGTTTTGCCTGTGTTTTACATATATGTGGTGTGTGTGTGTTGAGCATCATAAATTTGTCTTCTGTCCAATGGGCACTTTGCAATGCTTTGTGATAAACTGGTATTGGAGCTCAGACCCCACTTATGTCTTATAGTCATTTTTTCAGCTAAGTTATTTCTCTCTGAGCCTCCTCAGTTTGCCTTCTATGAAATGAGCACTGAAATTGAATTCAAGATTGTTTTGGAGTCCTGATTCTGACTGTGTTCACATGAACAAGGTAAGCCAGCAGGGAAGCTACCCTGGACTGTCTGAACCCAGGAGAACTTCCAGCTCAATGATTTGTCCAAACCCAGATGTCACTATTCCAGAGGAGACCAAAATCCCTAGAGCTGCTCAGCGAAAGCAACAAGAAAGGCATGCCAGTCTGGCCAAGAGGCTCCAAGCAAATGCCGATAACTGCTGCCCCAAACTGCTCAAGCAGCACTTGGGGATGGCTGTCAGCGGCTCCCTATACTGGCACCAATGAAAAGGGCTGGTGCCCACCACACCACAGCATGAGTTTTGGTGGCATAGGGAGAACCATGCTCTGCTTGGCGTATTCCATTGCAGTTTGGCTCCCCTCTGCCTGACACCATTACTTCTGATTCCATCTGAGAGGGCAGGCTCACAAGCATCCACCTCTGCCAGGATCTGCAGGAGTGCTGACAGTCCTCACTGCAGCTCATGAGATCTACTCCCGAGTGGGGTCGAGATGCATCACCAATCCCCACCCCCTTGGTGCTTCCGTGGTGTGTCCCATGCTATACATGCGTGAGGAATGAAGGAAGATAAGTGGGGAAGGAGCCTTAGGACCTCTGCTTTGCTGGATCATGGGTCCTCCTATTGGATGCACCAGGTTAAATGGCTGCCCCATCCTGATCTTCTAGTGTCAGAGGAACCCACTTTCTGTCTCCCTTCTCAGAAACTACAGTCATGCCCAACACGGTGGCAATTTTGTGAGTCCACCCATAACATTCTCTCAAAATTCCAAATGAGCCCACCCAAAATAGGTGGGGGTTCCCGACACAGCCTAACAAGGACGCTCATTACTCTTCCCCTCGCCGAAATTCAAATTCCCCGGTCATGCATCTACCCTCCTCCCACCACGAACACAGAGGCCTGCGTGACAAGAGAGGCCAGACAGCCAACTCCTGGTTTGAGACGGGGATGCTGGGAGTTGTAGTCCAGCCCATCTGGAGGGCCGCAGGGTGGGGGAGCTTGCGCGAGGTAGCCGCGCCCCACAGTGCGCCCTCGCCTGCGACCTTGCCCTGGAGAGGCAGAGAGGAGGCGAGGCAAAGGCTGAGCGGCGCCGAGGGCGCGGGGGGGACTCACTGCGGGGAGCTCGGGGAAGCGGTCGACGAACTTCCCCTCATAGGCCGGCCTGACGGCCCCGTGCAGCCCCTTGGCGGGAATCCCCCCAACCATCCTGGCGAGAGATCCGCTGGACGCACGAAGCCGGCAAGGCAGCGACGGCGGCCGCCTCGAGGAAAACAAGGTGTACTCGGGTAACCTAGCAACGGGGGAGGAGCCACGTGTCACGATCCCCGCTGGTTTAACCCTCCCGCTGCGGGCGCTCTTCCCCTTTTCTTTTGCAAACCGAGCTCGAGAAACGTGGGCTCCATCCTGCTTTCGTTACGGGTGCTTGTGAATGCTCGCTTCTCCTCCGGGGTTTAGTTATTCGTGCGTCCACGCCGCGGCAGCGGTGCGCCGAAGTCCAGCGCCGCATAGCAGACCCATAGCCAGCAAGGGCGAGAAAGTAGGGGAGGCAACTTGTCTGGTCTGCAAGCCCTTTTAAGAGAAAACTGCTCCGCTTTGTTTTGACCCTTGTTTTGGCAGCCCTGCTGCACTTCAGGTACTTTCAAAACTTTTAATGGAGCAATCTTAAGTTTTACAATTCTTGCTTTGGGGCAGCCTTGGGCACCGGCCGTGAAATCCGGCACGGGCCGACCAGAGGAAAGTTTGGTCAATTGCCTGACTGCCTGACTTTTTCTTGATGTTTAGCCAGAATCTGCCTGCCTGTGACTTAAGCTTGTTATTTCATGTCCAACAGTCATGGATGAGAGAGAATAGGCTGCAGCCCTTCTATGTGACAGTTTTTTCCATCATATACCCACCCTATCCTTTACTGTATACCCATTATTTCCTTCACTCTATCCTTATAGGAATTAATTGCTAGTCTCCTGATCGTCTTTGTTGCTCTTCAAACATGTTCCAGCTTACCCAAATCTAAAATGTGTCCAGAATGGAACATAGTATTTGGGGGGGGGGGGGTTTTTTTTTTACGTTTTTGGGGGGAAAAGGGAAAAAGGGATTATTTTTTCCAAAAATAAAAAGAGTGCAAAAATGGAAATAGTGTTTGGGGGGGGGGGGGTATTTTAGTCTGACTATTACGGGGCAAAGTGGCAAAGTGGAACTATTACTTCCTGTGAAGCTGAAATGATACTGCTATTGATGCAACATAAAAATTGCACTTGCATTTCTTCCATCTAGTTTCATCTCTTTTCTTTCTTTGTTTTCTCTTTTGCTTTTTTTTGGTAGCCCCATCATGCTGCTGGTTCATATTCATCTTATAATTGACTCTTGCTAAGCCTGGATTCCTCTACCTTATACTTGCACATATTTTTTACCCAAGTTTATTATCTATACATGTCTTTGTAGGCCACCTATAACTGTCAAGGCCTTCCTAGTTGAAGATCTTTGCACTTGTCCCTGTTAAATTTCACTGTTGTTTTGTGCCCAGTCTTCAAGATAATTTTGATTTTTGTCTTTGTCTTCTAAGTTATTAGCTATCTTACCCAATTTTCTGTCCTCTGCAGATTTGGTAAATATTCTCCTCTCCTCTTTCTGTTGGGTTTTCCTGTCATGGAATCCCACTTATCAGTGCTCTGAGCTGACTCAAATCAGCTTGCGGGGGGGGGGGGGGGGGGGGTTATGAATATGTTTTGATAGTGTGCCACTGTTAGCAGATTCACGTGCTTCCTTGGCTGCCTCAAAAGTATTGTTGAGACAGCATCACTTTGCAGTTCTGGTAACTGCTTTCCAACACAATCAGCAAGTTTAAATGCTGTTTCAGTAATGTGTAGTGGTGAAATTACAGCTTTAAGATATACCAGTACTTGTAAAATGACTGCAGTAAAAAAAAAAGGGGGGGGGACTACTGATCTGATTTAGCAATCCAATAACTTCAGTTTTAGATGACAACAGTTTTCACAGGAGGAAGATTCACTGATTGAGTGTGGAAACAATGAATTCATCATCTGAAAGTGTAAGTGAATTCAAAGGTCCAATCCATTACTGAATTAACAGGTATTTTAAAGAACTGCCTTTATCAATCTGAACAGCATGCCCCTTCCATTTGGCAAAATGGCAGAGCTTTTTTTGTAAGATTCAGAAGCACATGGGGAGGTAGAAGTTAAGGATTTTACTAATGAGCAGGCAAAATGATAGAACATAAGTTATAATACCAGCACTGAGCAACATCTCTTCCTTCTCCTTTCTGCTGTTAGGAGTCCCAGCTGAAGAGGAGCAGAGAGACCGCAGTTGGCTGGGCAGTACACAGCACCTCCATGGTCCTGATTGTAGCAAAGTTCCCTCCACCTGGCAACACCTTCAGGACTTATACACCTAAGATCTCCTTTAGCTTTGCATGGGTTAAGATAGTGCCCTCATTAATCACACCTATTGCTATGGTCCAGTCATCAGGTCTCAGGTTGTTTGTACCTCACTGTACTCTCCAAAAGATAAGTAGCCAACATAATAAAGTCAGAGATCCTCTCTCCTTCCAAGGTCATACCTCAAGTAAGCAGCAAACTTTGAAAACAAGTCAAGCCAAAGGCTTGACGGTCATTCAGAGTCTGAGTCTTAAGGCTCTTCAGGAGATAAAGACATGGGAGGAATAGTTTGTCCCACATCAACTTGTCTCCTCAAGATCTGATAGTCTTCTAATACGTTTCCTCTACATGTATGTGTGCAACTGTTCACATCAGTCAACATATTCCTTCCTCTCAGGCATACCCTCAATTGCATGTAAAATTAGGAAAATGCAGGCACTGTATATGTGGGGTACAATTCCACCATTGTACTCCCCCCACCCCAAGTAATAGCATCTTATCTTTAAGAGGTTAAACAAAGTCTTTTTTGTTGGTTTACTAAAACCTTCATAATACATGATATTGTTTCTAAAAAGATGTGGGGTGACAGAGACAATTAAGGGGGAGCTGTCCTCCCAGCCTTCCCAATCAAAGGTCCACCCTGTAGCTCCACTGCCCAGGTTTATCTAGAAAGTATCAAGGAATGAATGCATCAGGGTTGAAAAAGCGAATATTATTTTATGAATGTAATTCTGATAGTGCTATGATTTAAGAAAGTTTTTAAAACAAAAATGCACATATACAGGCTATTTTTAAAGTATATATTTATTATAACATTTATGCCACTTTTTTTCTTCCAAGCAATCCAAGTCAGTTTATACAGCCCTTCCCCATTTTATCCTCATAACAACTTTGCAAAATAGCTTAGGCTTAGGCTGAAAGTCTGGCCCAAAGCCAGCCAGTGAGTTTCATGACCCGCAGGTGACTGAACCTGGATCTCCCAGCCCAACACTCTAACCACCACACTTCACTGGCACTCATGCAAACAGTGCACTTGCTGTTGTTCTGACAGAGAGCAAGAAATATTAGTTGTGTGCTTCACAACTGCAGTAATACTCTCAATCATATGACTTACATCCAGAGTCTAGAATTGCCTAGATATACCACAATATGCATAGATTTGATTTATAGCCTGCCTTTCTTTCAGAGAACTCAGAGCAGTCTATACTGTCTTCTGCTGCTCACTCCATTTTATCTTCACAACAATCCTGTGATAAAGGTTATTATTAGTATTAATTGTATTTATAGCCCACTTTTTTTCCTTTCAGGGAACTCAAAGTGGCTTACATGATTCTCTCTCTCTCAGTTTTCTCACAAGAGCAACCTGTGAGGTAGGTTGGCCTGAGATTCTGTGACTGGCCCAAAGTCACCCAGTTGGCTCCATGGCTGAGCCTCAATATTTAAGACTTCAGTCATGCATTCTGAGCAAAGGCTGGCTGAAGCTGTAAATATTGGTGTAGTGGCTAGAATGTCCAAGTGGGACTAAGGAAATTGGACAAACAAACTTTATGCAGAACTTTATCACCCAGAGCTCACTGGGTGATCTTCAGCCGTCATTCACTCTCAGCCAACCTAGTTAGGATAAATAAGGATAAACATGGGATAAATAAATTCTCAGTGTCATTTTTTATAATTGCTTTACATTATTGTCTCATTATGTATTGTAATTTTTATTATCATTTCTCACAGCTGCCTTGGCACTGGGACCCAATTCCCAGGGTCATACTTCAACAGGGTGAGCTGTAGAGCAATGCTGCATTCAGTCATACATAAATATGCCTTGAGCTCACCTTATTTTTGTGCTGTTTTTGTTCAATCATAACTGTATTTTAAAGGGGAAGTTAAAGTATGTGCAGCAATAGCTGATCTGCATTAATTGTTTTCAGTTGTGCACCCTCACTACTCAAAATAACATGAGAAAGCTGATTTAGATAGGTGAGAAATCTCAAGAGGTATCTATACCATATGCATCCATTTTCCTATACCATATGCATGTTTCTTGCTAGCACAACAAACAGGAGAGTTTATGATACAATCCTAAGCATGTTTAGACAGAAAAAGTCCTATCACTCACAACATGCCTGACCCCACCAAACTTCCTTCAGACTCTTGCACTCCATCACTGCAAAAGCCTCTCCAGCTCTGATTCATTTATAAATGTCAAAAATCTGAATATACCTAAATACAAAGGTTATATCTCTGTGTGTGTTAAGAGATGGGGAGAGAGGATGCAAAATGCTTAACTTTAATGTTATGTTTCAAGAGTAATCATATGGAAGAAGGAGAGGCAAGCTTCATTTATAAATGCTTCTCAAGATAAGTTAACCAAACAACATCTACTTTGATAAAATAATCTCTATTCTCATATGCTTCAGAGCCAAGCCAACCTCCTTTTTGGGAAAGGACCATAAGTTAATGACACAGCACATGCTTTTCATGCAAATAGTCTCGGGTTTAATCTCTGGCATATCAGTTCTAGCTGGGAATGACTCCTGTCTGAAACCTTGGATAGCCAGCACCAGGCAGCATGGACAATACTAGATGGACCAGGGATTCTGATATCCTATCGGGGAGGATAAAGTTAGCAATACCCTCCTAGTCCTAATGGTTATATATTACCTCCATTTGCTGGGGAAACAAACAAGAAAGTGCTATTGTATTTGGGTCCTGCTGTGAGCTTCTGTAAGAACACTGGAGTCTGAGGCTTTTGATCTGTGCTCTTATGACTTATTAGGCACCTTTTATTTTCTTAAAAAGCATTGCTTACTGCACTGGTGCATCCCAAATAACTTGCTGTATCCCCAGAGGTTTTCTTGGCAAAATTATATT